ACCCCACAAGTGGGACAAGTGTGCCCCACTTGCCTCCCATGTGTCACTTTCTCATTGGTCCAACCTTATCCATCACACAAACCAAGGCAAACATCCCTTCACCCTAGCCACTTGCTCCAGCAACCCTCCATATAAGGAAATGCCTGGGATTTCCTTGATCTTTTACTTCACACATCAAAATTATACACTTCTTAAACCATCAAGAAGACCTCTTTTCTCTCAACTTTCAGCCACACTTTTGATGTATTCTTGAGTCATTCATTCACTTATTGGTAAGTATTTCCTTCTAACTCAAGTGTTATTACATGTTTTCATAACACTCTTGGATTAACGACTCATATCTTCACACCAAAAATCGTTCTTAGGATCATCCAAAACTTCGTGTGTTCATCAAGTGATCTAGACTTGAAAACTCATCATCTTCAACCTTCCACACTTCAAGAAATCACTCAAGGTGAGTTCATACCCCTACATTTTCACGTTTTCTTCAAGTTTTAGGGGGGGGGGGGGGGAATACAAGTTAAAACACCAAAACTTAACCAAACTCAAACAACAGCTTTCATCAGAAAAGTTAAGTCTTATTCACGGACTGTTTTGACTAGCTTAAACTTAATACTTTCAAAACTGTGTAATATGCAAATAGTTCAGGTTCATACCTTTAAAATGACTACTTGCACATCTCCATACGATGTTTCTACGATTTATGGTGATTTTTACAAAACTGTCTATCATTTCAGAAACGAATTTGGTCCAGTCTGTGAATATGAACATTTTAACACAAGTTAAAGACTTCCAAAAATCATAATAAAATTTACGAATAAACTAGACACATTTTATGAACTCTCAGAATTTACGGATTCAGTTTTCGACTTCGTATGATTTTTCTATAATTTTTTCTAAAACAGTGCAGAAAGGTTAAAAACTAGTTAACAGCTTATAACTTCCATAACAACTTTGTATTATGTTGAGCAAAGTGTATAACAATAAGTTCTAAATATTGAATGTATTTTCTTGTTAGTTTATCCTCATAACTGAAATTTAGTCATTCATGATAAGATTCTTCATTCACTTCGAACACCTATATAAGCTATAATAAGCATAGTTTATGGATTCATAGCACTAATGTATTTTCATAAAAGAGTTCTTTTACATTACAAACGTTTTAGGATAAACTATAATAGGTATAGTTTATGTATCATTTACATTTCAACAAACTCATTTACCAAAGGTTTTTCAGTTCAGTTCACGTAAATCTGTTAATGGATAAATTTGTGAGACATTCGCTTCGTGTTACCTTCGTGTAACAAAGTCAAAAGTCCTGTAAATGGTAACCAGAGTCTCTTGTAGGGAGAGCGTGATAATTGTGTATAGATCTATAGTGGGTCTGACAAGCCCGCACCTAAGCTGCTTGTAACAGCTAGACCGGCAGGTCAATGTGACAAGTGTCATAACATTCTGACGCTTGAAGAACGTCGTGTTACGAGGCCGTCTGAGTCTTAACATGGTTATAATAACTCACATGTGGTATTAACAAATCATAAGATTTACGGTTTTACTTTTAAATTAGCCGAGTTATGTCGATTTAAACTCACAGGAATTACTTTAAGTATGGAAAAATACTTGTACACTTTCGGTCTTAGGATTTAAGACAACACATAACACATAAAGTTTACGGGATATTTCCCAAAATTAAAAAGGGTTTTATGTCGATTTAAAATCACTTTTATATCTTTAAGTATGGAAAAATATTTGTTTATTTTCGGTCTTGGGATTCAGGACTACATAACTTTTATAAGGAAAATATTGGATTTTCTTTGGAAACCTATTTCTGTTAAACTTCATTTCATCTAGAATTGTTAGACTTCAGCTATAATCGCTAAGTGTATATGCTAGGGTTATATAAGAATCTAGTCACAATCGACTTAGAATTGGTGGGCCCGCCTTATCTCATGTTCCTTGTTTGGTGGTGGACCTAGGGCAAACCCATTATATTCAACGGTTTATTTACTGAAATTTTATATAACTTATATACGCTGGGCGACTATAGAAGGAATCTATGGGTCCTTCTAGGGTTCATTATCGCATAACATAGAAGCATTCATTTCACACTTAATAAAGAAAATATTGGATTTCTGGAAACATACTACTTATATCGCTTTTACAAGGAAAACGGTTTCTTTCTCAAACAAAACTCTTATGAACTCACCAACTTAATTGCTGACGCTTTTTCAAACTACTTGTATTCTCAGGAATTCAGTGAAACAGGAAATCAACCGCTTTTGAAGATGAGACGTTAAATCGTCAAACGTTTCATTTTTGTCATCATAAGTGTAATTGATTGGAAACATGTAAACACTTACTATTGTATAACTTTTTCAATTATATTTATGATGGTTGTATTTACTTTGGGCACTATTATACTCGTTGTTGTGATACTATACATGAAGTCCTCCACCCCCGGACGTTTCCGCCATCCTTGGTTTGGAGGTGTGACAAACTTCTTTCATGCTGCTTTAGGTTATTTGGAGTTTCTGGAATGCTTTCTTATTTCAAAGTAGTAAGCCTAAGAAGTTGAGTTTGTTTAATTCGATTGCTATGTTTTTGTTTTTACGTGTCTAATAGACCTAAGAAGGCTAACCAAATTGGGTTGGCTATAACTATTCAAAACAAAATAAAAGTCTAATATGTAAATAATAATTAAGGTATAAAATGATTTGTTATTAAATGTAGGGAACCCCACTAAATGATGACAATAATGGTCCCCTCGGGGAGATTGTCTTAGTGGATTTAATTATGCCAATTCCTCTTGAAATTATGGTGAGTGACTTTTATGTGGGATATATCGTAGATGCAAACCACATGGATGGGTGGTGGGTGGACATGATTTTGGAGAAATGATGGAAAATGTTCTTATTGTATTTTTAGTATCTAAAAAGAAATTATGTTCCCAATCGAAATGTAGAGACTCCACCAGGAATGGTATAATGTTTTGTAGATTTATTCAAAGAAATAATATGTTTTTTGTTGTTATTGTTGGTAATGTTTGTGTCAAAACAATGTGTTTCAATTTGTTTGGTAATGTGTGTATCCTGGATTATGTTATCCAATTTGATAACGGTAAAGTATAGAATATGTTATGTATGATTGGTCATGTTTGTATCTATAGTTTCTTAGAGGTTTTTGTTTAGTTACATGTATGTTGTGTTTTAGAATTTTTCTAAGTAATGTTTGTGTTCAATGTATATGTTATGAATGTTTGAATGATGTAATGCATAGTATAATAATTATACATGGTTTGTAGTTATAGATAATTGGTGTGAGTGAAAGTCACATTGATTTCTTTGGGAGTTTGAGGATTTTAAATTGGTTGTAGTGGTTCTGAGGGTGATAATTGGAGTGGTGTTGTGGTGGTTGTGAGGGTGGTGGAAATAGTGAGATAGTGGCAGGATTGGTGTAGTGGTGGTTATGAGGGTAGTGACACGAGTGTGTGTTGTCATAGTTATGAGGGTGATGGTAATAGTGGAATGGTGCTATGATTTGTGTAGTGGTGGCAAGAGTAGGATGGTGGCAATAATGGTGTTGTGGTGGTTGTAAGGGTGGTGCCAAGATTTAAACCCTTTCTAATAAATATCTTATATATATATATATATATATATATATATATATATATATATATATATAATATATATATATATATATATATATATATATACATTACATATTAAATGTTGAATTTTAATTTAATAAAATGAAAAATACAATAAAATGACAAGTGGCAAATAGAAAATTCTAAAATTCTAAAAAATGTCATGTGTCCAAATGAAGAAGAAAAAGACACGTGACAAAAAGTTTTTTATTTATTAAGGAAGATTTATTTATTTATTATGGTTTTTCATTTTTCCATCCTCAGCCGTTTTATTGCTATAAATAGGGGAGCATCCAACGTAGCTCAAAGCTATCCCATAACAAAAATGGCGCCCACAAAGGTAGTCCGAAAATCAACGGAGGAAGAAGTCGCCGTTGTACTTGCCGATTACATTTCCCAACGCTCAACTAAATACATCGCCGACCATGGTTCCTTCTCCGTCGTCCTCTCCGGCGGCACTTTAATAGACACTCTCAGGCAGTGGCGGATGCAGCCCCATTTAGTGGGGTGCATGGACCCCACTTAGAAGTGGGTCCCATCATTTTTATTACTAATAAACCCTTCAAAAATCATATTTTTACTAAAAACACCCTCCTTAACACCTATTTGTACATTAAATTGCCCCAATTGATATTTTATTTATCTGAAAACCCCAAAAAAGTTTTGAATTTTATGTGTTTATATATATTTTTTTATGAAAATGGACCACACTTATATTTAGTTTTGTATCCGTCACTGCTCTCAGGTAACAAAAACCAACATTCCTATTTCCATTTTGCTCACTCACTGTTTGCATGTTTTACTGATATGATGTAAGAAATTAGAAACAACACTTCCAATTTGAGTTTAATTTCAGGAAATTAGTTGAGCCTCCATACGTTACCTCCATAGATTGGTCGAAATGGTTGATTTTCTTCCTCGATGAACGTGTTGTTTCTCACGACGATCCTGATTCCAATTACAAGCTTGCCTATGACGGATTTCTCAGTAAGGTATTCACAGATTTTACATTCGTTCTGAGGGTTTTTAAACAATTAGAATCGCAGGATTGTAGTATCCGATTTTGATTTATTAAATTGTTAAATTCCAATTACGAGCCTCCGGCCTCGTGTTGTTAGGTGCCGATACCGGAATCAAACATCTATGCAATCAAAGAAGGGTTATCGCCGGAGGAAGCAGCAGAAGAATATGAACAGCGGCTCAAAGATCTGGTAGCTAACAAGAAACTAAGAGCATCGCCAATTACAGGGTTTGCTAAATTCGATCTGATGTTAGTCGGAATGGGTCCAGAGGGGCATGTTGCGTCGCTATTTTGCTGGCATTTTCAGCGATTTGAGAAGGAGAAATGGGTGACTTTCGTCATGGATTCACCCAAACCTCCTTCTAAAAGAATCACTTTCACCTTCCCATTGATCAATTCGGCGTCGGAGATTGCAATGGTGGTGACCGGAGAAGAGGTGGGGGATGCGTTGAAGCTGACGATGGGCCCACATGCTTCGTATGGTTATCCGTTGCCTGCGCAGAAGGTTTCACCCGAAGGAGAGCTTACATGGTTCTTGGATAATGCTGCGGATCCTCCACGAAACCCTTGTTGTATACTTTAATTTATATGGAATTAAAGTATATAAGTATTTTGTTAAATGTTTATTTATGTAATAAAATGTTTTTCTTTACGTATAATCTATAAGTTTGCTTCGTTTATATGACCAAAAAAATGTAAAAATGAACTGGTTATGTCATTGCATGATAATTGATACACTGATTTATGAAAATTGCATGAATTTCCCAAAAACATAATTTGATAGCTTAGGGTAAATATGTTATTTTTAAAATACTGGTTATATAATAAAAATTTTCTTTCGTATAAAAAACTAACTTGGATCATAAATTAGGTAAAGTAAACATTGCATAATATAATAATAATAACGAGGGCCGGCCTTATGCTTCAACTTGTAAAGGTAGGGCTTAGGGCCCCACATTGTAAGGGGCCCCATTTAATTCCAAGTGTCAGTCCATCTCCTCATTCCCCAAAAAAATCACGTCTGCGTCTAAAGACTACAATCACGCCTGCAACTGCGATGACGTCAACATTCAACGATTAAACTTCCGTTCTTTTCTCCATTCTCGGACTTGATTCAGGCTTTCTTCTCCAAATCGATTCTTCCACTGTTCCACTGTCGTCGAATGAATCGCTGCTGTTCTACTTCTCGCCTCTTGGTTTCTCCACAGACAATCGATTCTTCCTTGAATTTGAAACGGTAATGTGCTTGACTGCTTGTATTTTCCCTTTTGAGTTTCGATTTTCCTATTGTCTTATTATGTATTATGTAATTGGGGTTAATTTGTTAAATAGTAGCCGATTAGTTGTCTATCTCAAACCAATGTTCCATCGATATTGCTTCAATCGATTATGTAATGGCCGCCTAGCAATAAACTTTGTCCCACTGCTTCAATCGATATTGATTGACTGCTTGATGTTTTTTGGCTCTTGGTTTGGTTCATTGGTTGATTGGCTTTTGGCTCTTGGTTTGGTTCATTGGTTGATTGGCGATTTGGCCCCAAACTCCAATATTTGGAAAAGTCTTCATCAGTAATGTACCCATAGTATAGAATGATATAACAAGATTTTTTGATCAAACATGCAATATTTGATTTGAATTCTGTGGTTTGGCCTCAATATTTGGTTTTGTTTTTACTGAGTTTCTTGTTTGACATCTAGTTATATAATGTCTTTTGATTAAAACATAATTTTTTGTTATTAAGTTATGTAATTTGTATTTTAATTGTTTTTGGCATTTTCCAAATGACATGAATGTTCAAATTTGTTAATCTTTTCAATTTTCTGATTTTTGATTTCAGATTGGCAGATTGTATTGTTCACTGATTCCAGATTGACAGATTCCATTGTTTTTGGGCTTTTCATTATTTAAGGGTGGTATAATGTCAAAGGGCCCCAAATTTTTGGTTCGCTTAGAACCTCCAAACTGGTTGAGACGGCCTATAATAACAAAATAGGGGAATTCACAAAAATACCATATGCGTTACTTCATCGACTATCTCCAATTAAAAAGAAACAACACGTACTTAGGTCCACCATCAAATATGAAAATGATAAGTTTAACCTTTATTATGGACACTTTTTCATTTCTTCCTTCAAGGCTTCAATGGTGCATGCTTTTAAAACTATGTCCGAATATAAATAGATTGTAGTTTAGACTTGAGACTTTTCATACCTAGATAAATAGAATTTATCGAGTGAAAATGTTATTATAAATTTATAATATGTCCCGATTCTTTTATGGTCGTGCATAACTGCATACCCAACTAGAAAACTTACAACCATTGCTCAAAATCTAATTTTACAGTCTTCTTCATTATTTGTTGTCATCTTTTTTATTTGGTCTTCAACATTTTTAAGTTTATTTCCTAAAACAAATAAGGAAAAAGATAAGAAAACTGAGCTCAAGAACATATTCCAAACCAAGAAAACCCAAAAGTTCCAAGTACTTATACAAGCTAAGAATCTACCATCATTGGAGAGAAGTATGTTGTAAATGAAACTGATTTTGTATCATCTAATACCACAGAGAGTTTTTAAGCTTAATAATCGTGTATTTCAGTTTCATCAGTTTTATCTAAATATGACAGTATTAGTTATCATTTTATGTGGATAGGAAGAAAAGGTAGGAAATATATATAATTTTTCATTATTTTTTTACCCTTCAACCTCATAATTGCATTCATCTTTCCATAACTGGCTCAAGTATTCTTCTTTCATTATCCCAATAAATCAAGAATACAAAATATCTCTCCATAAAATCAAAACCAAAATCAAAATTCAAATCCTCTTAATTACCGATTGCAGCTATGCCAAAAAATCAGCAAAAATAGTTTTAATTCGATTTAATATTTTTTTAATTAATCCATATAATTACACCGGTTAACCTAGTACTCAATATATCAATAATCATAGTGTAGTGTAGTGTGGTTAGAAAATAGTCGGAATACATAAGCTTATTTAATATCCCTCGATCTTTTGGTTTTCAAGTTGCGATGCTATATACATTAAACATTAAAGAATATGATGAATACCATGTAATTCATCATTGTCCCACTGTTTTTCTACTTCTTGAATCAATGGCAACTCAAACACGTGAATCATTGCTCAAATTTAGCTTGGGTTTTACAACTTTATTAACCGAAGGGGGATACAAGGTACTAGCTTGATGTGTCAAGCGTGCAATAATGGGGTGGACGAGTCTAATCATGTTCTTTTGGGTTGTCCTGTTGTTCGCGATGCTTTATGCTGGATATGGAACTGGTAAGATATCCCTTCTCCCTCTGTTAATTGGGTGTGTTATTTAATTCGGTGTGTTATCCCTTCTCCCTCTCTTAATTCGGGAAAAGCGCATTGCGATAAAGATATTAGACATTTTTTACTTTAAAAATATGTTATAATAGCCCTATTTGGAACATATAAGACATGAAGAGTGTTTTTTAATCATTATTAACTGTTTTTTTAACGGTTGATTAATGGTTAAAAATTAATATCATCAAGCTAGTAGAAATCGTCAACGTATAGATCAGAACTCGCGTCTTCGAATCTAAGAGAACTTGTGTCCTCGAATCTAGGAGGCGGAGCCTCTACCATATGGGCTAATCCAACATTCAATGGTATTTTCATCGATTGCATGATATCTTATTATTATCAATATATTAAAAGTTTAATTAAATAAAATAAAATTTAAACCGTGTTTAATGTGTATAAGCAAACTTATAAGCTAATATGTTTTTGGTTTATTGAACACGTTATGAATTAGTATTTTCAGTGTCTAGATAATAAATTCCAAAGGTCAAAACAATTTTATTGGTATTTGACACTACAAAATGATACCCATGTGAAACTACAGATAATCATGCGTCCGCATTTCATATAACTACTGATAAATATTTGTCATCAGTCATATAGCTACGGGTAATTATATCTGTGTTTGCCGTCCAAAAATATAAATGCATGCATATTTAGATATGCATACCTGCATATTTCAAAAAAAAAAAATTGTCAAATCTTTTGTTTGAGAATTGATCCCTTTTAGACGCTGCATTTTGTTAATATTGATGGTTTTGGTTCTCAAAATTTTCCTACATTTATTTGTGATTTGCATTTTCCTTCTAGTACGTGTGTACACCCCGGATAACCTGATCGATCGGGTTGTTCAATTTGTTTGGAAATTGAATTTTTTTTAAAATACTAATTGAAAATCAACTATCAAAATACAATAATTTTATTCAAACAGTTTTTTATCGGTTCTATTATACCGGTTCAACATGGTTTTTTAAAAAACCGACCGGTTCTATCCGGTTTAGAAATTGATATAAAACTGCTCATTGTTGAACCGTTCTCATCCCCGGTTCCCGGTCCAACCGTTCAACCAACAAATTTGAACTACTTTTTAAAACATTGAATATTATAGTGATTTACAATACGTAATAAGAAATGTACTTCTAAGAATTTTATTGAACAAAAGTTTTCTTGAACATACGATGGCGTGTTCCGATTTTTTATAAACAAAAATCTTATCGAAAAGAATTATTAATTTGTCCCTTTCGTTTTTAAAGAAAGTTAGAAACAAGCTTGTCCAGCACTTCATTCCGTTGATAGAAGAAGAGACTTCTCAATAAAATATTGTTTGAATAAAATGTAAATACTATATAAAAAAAGGGTGCTGAAATACCCACGAATTTTTTTATACATCAACATAAATTTAAAGTAAACTGACAATTTTGCCCCTACCCACTTATCTTCCTTCCCCCTCCTCTATGATCGGTCTTTCCTTCTCTCACCCCACCAAAAAACTAGTAAAACTCAAGGGCCCAAGATATAATTACGTTTCCCTTTCTTAAATCCAACTCCTCGATTTGCCCCGCCTCTTTTTCCCACTCTTGTCGCCGGATACTACACCATCATTGTCAAAACCAACGCACCATCAAGAATACACAGGAAGTAGCCGGATCTTTTGCTCAATCGCAAAGCTTTCTGACACACACAATGAAGGATCTTTTGCTCAATGCTAGTTCGGGAGAACCCACTTTGAGTTTGGCACACACAATGATTTTCTCACCGGATTATTGGCTTCTTTGACTTTCTTGCCGGAGTGTGAAGATTGTGTGTTTCTAGAAGTGGGTTTTGCCAGTTTTGTTATATCGTGGGAAGTTTAAGAGCTCTCTCAGGTTACAAATGAAACAAACACATGAAATCAATTACCTTTTACCGCTGATGAAAAGACCGATAAAAAAGGAGGGGGAAAGGAGATAAATGGGTAGGGGCAAAAATGTCAATTTACTTAAAGATTCTATGGATGTATATAAAACATCCGTGGATATATCATCTCCCATAAAAAAAACATTTAAGAGCTGTACTCGGTTAAAAAAAGAAGATAAGCATATGTATAGTTGTACGTAATGGAATAGCAAAAAAATGGAATTGACCAAGTATAAGAATAATTTTACAAAAATAAAATTTAATTCTCTTGATTTTGCTTGATCCAAATTTTTTAATTTGCAAAAGAGTCCAAGAAAAGACATTGGTAGTGGAGTTGTTCCA